AAAAAATCCCCATCATAAATAGGGGATGTAATGCTTTCAGATACAGCTCTCCATCTGTGCAGAAAATTCCAAGCTCCATTTTTTTTTTTTTTTCCTGAGGCCACTTTTGGTGGTAAGACCATAATTTCTTTCCTCTGATGGTTTTCTTTCTTTGCCTTCTTCTTGGAAAACTATTTCAGGACTACTTGGGGGGGAGTGGAGGGTCTGTAAGGGCCAATTTAGGGACCCAAGGCATCTGGATAATGTGGCTCTGGGAGGGCACAGGAGCCAGAAAGGCTCCAGCTGAAGGTTGTAGGAGCTCTTGGGAGGATTCTGCTGCCACAAGTGTTTGGGAAAATGTTCTGGGTTCTTACTCCACAAGGAGCTGCAATTCTCTGTCAGACACTGGGGCAACCCCTTCTGCCTCCTCTGCCTTGCCACCAGCAGCATAAGCAACCCCAGTGTTGCCAAATCAAAACAGAGGGGAAGAAATGTCATATCTGTCACCCTCCAACCTGAGCATCAAAATCATCCCTCTGTGCTGTCACCCGTGGCCTGGCTGCTAATCTCGACCTCTGACCAGTTGACTGGTGCCTTTCTGGCAGCCATCAGCAATCTTTTCATTGACCTTACAAGTATCAGCCCTTATTCTTCTGGTGTTGAACTGCAGTAAGATGCTCTGAGCAGTCCTGGTTCAGCACATCGTGTGCAAATAGAAGAATTCTTTGCAGACTTTACTTAAAAACTCAGAGTTTTTAAGTGAAATGTAGGGAAACCCATTGCAGACATGAACACAAAGCTGACATGAGCTTTAAAAATGAAAACCAAGGAAAACTAGGTGCAAGTTTCTTAATTTAAAACAAAATCCAATCAAAACTTACATCCATATTGGCAAAAATATAAATTTTGGAGAGCCATAATTTTGAGCTTTATTGAAGTCTGATTTCCTTATGAGTGTAGAAAAGCTGAGATTTATTATTCTTTCCTTAAGACTAACAAATGTCTGTGGAGATCACAAGCCCAGTTTGGCATTCTCAGATAGTTTCTGATGTGGACTTTGGAAAAAGTGAATGGATTACTAATTGATGTGTCAGATTCCTAATCTGCCACTAATGTCATTTGGACTGACTGCAAAAAACACTATTCCGGACAGCTGCACTGTGGAAACATGGAGACACCATTAAATAGGTCCATTAGGATAAAATAGGTCCTGTGAAAGTTGAAGGATGAAAGTTCATCTTCAGGTTTAACCTGTGGAGTTGTTGCTTGATGATGGGGTGAGTGATGTGACTTTTGTATTTAAATCTTCAAGTCTGTACTGATAGTTTTGGTCCATGGACACAAAGGGAAAATCCGTCTGTATTTAGAGACAATTTTTTTCTACAAAGGATCTAGGAGAAGAGTCTTGATGTTACAAAAAGGTAACAGGCAGGGAGCCCAGTGAATGTGTATTGAGGCTGCAAATCATAAACTTCTTCTCACACAAGACAGGACCCTCAGCAAACCTTATTCCTTTGGTCAAGGTCAACAGTGGATGTCTTTTAAAACAGCACACTTGAGTGTAACCACAGCTTGTTGGATTTTATCCAGGGTTTGCTGGGTGGAGTCCTGGCCTACACAGAAGGGAAGACCCAAGATCACATTGGTCACTGCAGTCTTAAAATGTACAAGCCTGAGGTCTTCATATAATAAACATAATATGAACATGAGCATTTCTTACTCTCATCTTTCCTCAGAATTGCAGGCAAGTCCATCAGTAAAAACTGAAAAGTGCCCTGCTTTTGGCACCAGGATCCTGACTGGTGCTTCCCTCCTCCTCCCCACCTTAAGCTGCCCCGGTGTGAGGCTGATCTGAGATTCACACCCCAAAGACCACCCTGAACAACCGTCTTGGAGAAAAACAGTGCCACTTCCCCCCCTTCTTAATTCTCTTTTTGCCTACAGCAGTGACTTTGTTACCGTTTTCAAGTCCTTCTCCAAAGAAAAAGTCAAGTAAGTTTTTTGAAACAAAAGCTGGGATTCATCCGTGTATCCGTTATCCCGAATGCAGGGGGTGGGCTGCAGCCAGTGGTTTTTCAGGACAACAATGCCAGCTTTGTTGCCATCCCTGTTTCTTTCAACAGCCTCGGCTTTCCTGTTGTGGGACGGGGGCAGGCCTGGCTGAGGAGGGAAGATTCCCATTCATGAGCCAGCAGAACCTGGCACTGCCTGGATGGGGAGAGAATAGCCCGAGGTGGTGTGGCTGGGAGCCACACCGGGGCAGATGCCCTTAGGAAAAGGGATTAAAATCAACTGACAATAAGCAAGGAGCTGGTTCTTGCCAACAGCCTGAAACCACATGGCCTCAAACTTGAAGCTGAAACAGATGAGGACAAAAATGAGTCCAAAGGTAAAAGCCCATAATGCACAAACCAAACAGCTCAGGGCTTGGAATCAGACAAGAGAAGGGTTTGGAACCAGCAGGTTTCTCTCCAGTGTGCTTATTTGCTTTAGATGTTAGGTATTGATAGCTGTAGCTTGGTTAAAATTACTTCAGGGTGCATAATAGTTTGCTGCATGATGAAGTATGGCCTTTGTGGTGTGTCTCAAGCATTGTGGTGTTGCAGGTAAGGGAAAAGCACGTGGATGTTCCCTTTGTGGCCTGGTATTTGTGCTGATGGACTTGTGAATAACATTGGCCTCCCTCATCTGTGTGGTTCTGCACCCAGCAGAGAGATCCATGCAGATGTGCCAGAATGTGGAAACATGGCAGGCTGAGGAGGAATGTCCCTGATCAAATCTCAGAGATGCAGAATGATGTCCTGTAACAATTTACACCAGCAAAACCCAGTCACTGTGGTGCAGCTTGTCAAGATTCCTGAGAACCAACCAAGAAATTGTCCCACTTTTCCCCTGCCCTGCAATTTATGAAGAATTGATCATAATGCATTTTAAAAAAGAAAATTTTAATGTGGAAGCTGAGGATCACTCCAGTAAATGTGACAGATCTGTGCAGGCAGGTAGTGCTGCAGAGTGCACATTGTGCTGATAGAAACCTCTTTCTTTTCCTGGATCAGCCTGTCTTGCCATTCCAGCCAGAACAGTGCCAGCAGCATTGGATCCAGACAGCCAAATCATGGTGGTGGGGCAAAGGCAGTGGTTCTGGAAACCGTGGAGAAATAGAGAGACCTCTGCTAAAAATTATCTCCTTTTATCCTGGGGTTATAACACTTAGGTGCAGAACATGGGAACTGAAAAGCTGTTTTGAAAGAAAAAATGCCAACAACCCTCTGTCTTTTTCAGATCAGCTCAGCACAGTCTAACCCTTGAACTCAGGGCTCTACCAGTGGAGGCAGCTGAGTGTAGTTTCTGTCCTGGCTGATTTTAAACATTAACCCTGTTTTTTAAAAAAAATCTCACCTGGGCTTCTTTTTCTTTTTTTTTTTTTTTTGTGTTTCTCTGAGTTAGTCCCACATTTATCAGGCAGGTTCTGC